AAAAAAAAAAAAAAAAACGAGGGAGGGGGAGAAAGCTGCCGAGACACCCGAAAACTTGCAGCAATTTAAATCCATTTTTCGCAACTTCTTCGCCCACAAGCCCGACAATATAAATATATTGATTTATTCTTTTTGTATTTATTTTACCCGCATCCACATAAAGTATAAAAATATATATATAGATGTAATATAGGAACAGCAGCCAGCAGCCGATTACTATTTATTATAGCCAATCCCCTCGTATATAGATTGAGGAGTTGTTTTAGTGTTTAGGTTTACAGAGTTATAAATATATATATATATATATATATATAGTTACGACGAAGATAATATATATTCAGTAGCTGGGTAGAGTCTGCNTATATATATATATATATATATATATATATATATATATATATATATATATATATATATATATTGCATATAAACATATAATATAGAGGTTGGTTCAGTTCTGTATTTCTGTGTATGGCTGAGTGGTATTCAGAACGTTGGTGTGGTGGGTGTGGAGGGGGGGGATGAAGGGGTATTGTGTTCGTCTCTTTTTTTCTGTTCTTTTGTTGCATTATATTCTCTTTTTATTTCTAAAGAGCGAAATAAAAAAAGGTTTCGTTCGTTTCGGTGCTGTCGACGTTACGTGTGGTGGCGGGTTGCTTGGTTTTGTTGGTTCTTCTCCCCTCGTAGTTTTTCACTTATATTACTTATACTACTAAAAACACGATAAAATAGAATTTTAAAAGAATTAAAACAACCAACTGATGCCGAGATGATATAAAAAAAAGGCAGTAGCACGCTGTGCTGGTGCTGCGTTGAGGCAGCTAGACGCAGCAACCAAAACACCCAACAAGCCGTTTCAGATGAATAAAAAAACACGTAATACAGTAATTTAATTCTTACAACTGGGGCATCAACGACTGAGCTGCATACAACTGAAAAAATACGAACAGTACCAACCCCTGAGGTTATGGTATGTAATACAGTGGCGGCTCTATCAACGATAAAGTTAGATGATAATGGGTTTATTTGTTGCTCATTGAGCCGCTTAATATTTCAGCTTTATGAATTTATTAATGCAATGAAAAAAATATGTAATTTCCTCTGCTTTCTGTTGTCGTTGCAACTCCGAACTCGGGCGGAGCACTGGGACCCGTGCGGCAGGCTGAGACGAGGAATATGAATAAAAGGAGGGAATTGAGTCAATTAAAATTAAAGAATTACGATAAAAAAACAAATTATTAAAATAAATTATGAACAAAAAAAGAATTTCAGCAGTATTTGTGGTTAACGCTTTCCTGATATTTCAAACACTTGTGGTGCCGCCGTTCGTTGCATGCGAGAGAAAAAGACCCGAAATCGACAGAAATTCAATAAAGAGTTTTTTAAAATTATTTTTGCGAATTAATAATACAAAATCCGATTCATTTCGTCTTGCTTTCCTCGGCTTTCCCCGTAGCACCTCCTCGCGCACACCGAAACATCTCTGCACACTCAACGTTGAAATATTCATATTCTGGTGTATGCGACGTTTGTACAGCCAACTGCTATAAGCTGATTGCAGTTTATTTCATTTTGAGTGGCCAGTGTGAACACTCATGGAGATCTCCCCCCCATACATATTTTCTGCAGCTGCGCCGCCGACGACTCGAATTCCTGTTTCTCTCTATGCAGTGTATATTCCTTGTTGCGAGTGTCATTCATATTCAACTGTTAATACAGCTGCTTAGCGAGTATGACCTCTCAGGGAGGTGAGCTTCGCGGCCATCCCTGCCACGGCGGTTTCTTGGGTCTCTGCAGCGCTAACGGCAGCAGCAGCAGCAGCAGCAACCAGCACCAGCACCTGCAGCAGCCAGACCTCTATTTCCCTAGCAGTGTTCTAACACAAGCTGACCACATACAGCAGCAGCACCAAGACTTTTTGCAGGCTGAGGCGTACAACAGGAGCCATGCCGAGGGGCCTGTACTGTCTAATCACGTGCACTGTAGTTGCAACTGTAGCTGCATATACTGCTGCGGAGGAAAAGAAGATTACTACAACTCTGGACTTCAACCAGAAGTAGAAGCTGAGGGCTTCGAGGCTTCGAGTTTCTCCCCTGCACCTCCTCGTCAGCAGCAGCACCAGCACACAAGCGGAGCCTTTGAGCTCTGTTCATGCAGCCATCACTACCAACCACAGCAGCAGCAACAGCAGGAGTACCACCACCACCACCACCATCATCATCACCACCACCATTCCGGTGGTTCCCAAGCTTCGCAGGCGCCGCCACTCAACGCCCCCAACGTTGTCTCGGTTGACGAGCAGGCGGTGTTGCCGCTTTCCCCTGAGAATGAAGAAGACGGAGAAGAGCCTGTAGAGTATGAATATTATGTATGGGATGCAGTAGCCCAAGAATACGTTCAAACAGACCGGGATACGGGGGAGAAGATGTTGCAAGACCCCCAGTACTTTCAGTATCACTACCGCCTCGTAGAAAATACACAAGACGGAGAAACTCTGCTGCTGCCGGAACCACTGAATGCTGTTCCTGGGCCTTGGAACGAAGATATGCAAATTGGGTTTCAGCAGCAACACCCAATTCAAATGCCAGCGAGTCTTTACAACGAACAGCAGGAGAATATGATGGGTCTTTATTCGCAACAGCAAGAGGAGGCTGGTGCTCTTTACCCCGACCACGACGAGGAGGAAACCTGTATTGTTAGTGCTGCGCAGATGGAGCAGGCAGGCGAGAGAAGTGGCTGTCGGTTGAGTAACCCTCAAGTTGGTGGTGAGCTGCTGCAAACCCCCAACTCGCTGCTGACGACCCCGCGACAGGACCTGTTAATGCCGTCGGTTTCAGCACAGAGCCGCTGCAGCAAGCAAGCACAGCAGCAGGGCCTCAGAAGAAGGTGTGAAGCTCCTGAGAAGGAGAATAGTTACCCGCAGCCCACCGCCTGCAGCTCTCACCACAGAGTGCACCGCGACTGCGCTACAAATTCAACTCTGACGGGACATGTTGGGGGGTGGGGCCCTGGGGCCGCGAATGCGCTTCACCGCCGGGGCAACAGGACGCCGAGGGCTAAGGGACTCGAATGCAAGAACGACGGCTTGGAGACGCTTACTTCATATCCGCGGTTCTTCATATCCTGCAGCAGACCGTGGGAAAACCCTTCGGTAACCATGCGAGACAGAGACCTGCAACTACGCCAACTACGACATCTGCAGCGAGTGCAGGAGCTCGAAAGAGATGAACTCTTTAGACGCCAGTTGATGCTCGATGAAATGGCAGCGGCGCTTCCCAAGTCGTCGCAGCATATGGTGAATGCAGAAACAAACAGAGCTTGCCGCGACACTAAGCGCTTCGCTACCGACGGGCGAACAAAGAATAACAGTCGGCCGGCTACTCAGGGATACCTGCGTGATGCAGAACGCCGAAGTCGAACAGACCCGGTTAATAGAGGACGCTACTTTAGGGACGTGTGGAAAAGTGACAAGTTTCTAGAGCAGCAGAAACACCCAACATTCGACGTCAAAGCATACGATGCGTGGTTGAAAAACAGTGGACATCTAATCAGAGGCAGGGCTCTAGAGCTGCAGCAAGAAGAGCAAAGACTACTCTCCAAGATGCAGCAAGAAAGAAGCACCCGTTTTAAGCGATGCGGGTACTGAGTGAAATGTGTTTCGGTGTGTGTGTGTGGTGTTGTGTGTTGAAATCTACAATGAATCGATTCTGTTGGCCAATGTTTCAAATGCCTCATCGCCTCCTGCCAGCTTTTCTGCACCTCCAAATACCAGGGCCCCATGCACTGGAGTTCCGATCGATGTCGAGCACGTCGACCCCCGCGGGGGGACCCCCAGTCCGCATGTCATGAGGCCGTTAGGGTGCGGATAAATATATTGGGTGTCGGGAAGTATCTTGTTGAAGCTAGGGCTTAAGAAATTTTCTCCCGCGTCTTGGGAGCTCTCATCTGACGTAAAGCTTAAAACTGGGCTGTTCCTGTGGGTCGAATGGGCTGATGCCCCAACTTGGCCTCCATTTGAGTTCCTGTCGACTTTCTTTGGGGCTAAATAGAACGATGCGTCGCTTGCAAGGACCCAGTTGCTGATCCTCATCTCGCGCTCCTGCGATTGAAAGTCTGGCACACACTCAAACACGGGTAGGACCACGTTGACGGCCTCCGGGTCCGGGAACTCAGCAAAGAATGACTTAGTGCTGCTGTCGTAAGAGAGCTTTTCCGCCATGGACAGTACTTCCATAGGCTTTAGATTCCCCCATCCTTTCTCAAAGGCTTGCATGTAGGAGGTGTAAACATCCGTTGCTTCGAAACGCCTTCGCATTTGATAGATGTGAAAAGGAAATAAGAATGGGCTTGTAAGTAGCTGGAACGCTGTGGGTCTTTTCTGTGGATCTTTGGTTAAGCACTTCAGCAGGAACTCCATAGCATCCTGCCGCAGAAAAGGCAGACGACCAGTCACATCTTCTGCGTTAAATGCAGGTATTTGTCTAGAAGCTTCCTGTAGGGTATATTACGGATTGCATGCATAGCTTGGAACGTAAAGAATAGGTAGTCTCACGTTCATATTGAGGCACTCGAACAGACGCTCGCCAGTGAGCAGCTCAAAGAATATTGTCCCTAGAGCCCAAATATCCACGCCGTAACTGTACCCTTTGCCGGTGGGTATGAACTGCTCAGGCGCGCAGGCAAAGCAGGTTGTGTAGTTTTTAGTCAAAATAAATCCTGGCTTGACCTTTCTGTGCAGCATAAAGAAGTTGCAAGGAGTTACTCAACACGGCAAAGTATGTAGCTGACTTACGTGCTGTTGCCAAAATCTATTATTTTTAGTTCGTCGTTCTGGAAGTTCTCTCCGCGCCTCACGAGGATGTTTTGTGTCTTGAGGTCGCGATGAATTATGCATTTCGCATGAATGAGCACCAGCGAACAAACAATCTGATACATGTAGGTTCTGGCCATCTCCAGCTACGGACACATGAGTGAATTTCTGGTATTATAGCAAGCCAAATATGTTGCATTTTGTATACGTACCGGCATCCCTGTGGGGTACTTCGCCTTGAGCAGCTTTCTTAGCTCTCCCCCGTTGACAAGCTCGAGGGCCAAGTGGTCGTGAGAGTCACCGATAGCGCTGTGGTGAGCGACAGCTGCAGCAACTGCTGAGTTGCCGACTTCAAGAGCAACCGAATGCGCCATAAGCCCGAGGAACTTAGAAGGATGCGGGTCTTGGGCCGCGTAGGTCACCAGAGACCCTTCTATGCGGATATCACAAATCAGGCTGAATTCGTGTCGAAGCATTTCTTTTGGTTCCCGTTTAATGGCAACAGGGACACCCTGTCTTCTGTCCATTGCGAGAAAAACTTCTCCGTTGCCTCCCTTTCCAAGACGTGCGTCCAGAAAGAGCTCAAAGCGGCGAGAAACAGGTAGCTGATACTCTGTAAAAAGGCTGTTGTCATCTGTAGTGGAATTGCCAGGCGCTTCCGCAATCGTGTTGGGGCGACCGCGGCGAATTACATTCGGACGATCGATTCCAAGAAGGATTCGACGAAAAGAGAAAGAACAAACGAAACCATCGTTTGAGCCCGCTGTTCTGCTGTTCACGTCAATGCCATTCTTGAGCGTCATGCGGAACTTGCAGTTTTCGGCGGAGTCCAAGTGGCTGAACACTTCATATCCCCTCCCCGTCTCTTTGAAAAACTGAGGAGCCCCACAGCAGTTTCCTTGGAACGGAGAGGCTGCGACAGGAGGGAGTTGGCGTACAGAAATGATTCTATCGCGAACCTTGATGCGCAAATAGCCACATGTGCCTCTGTACTCTGGATAAGGGCCAAGAGGAACTGGCACCAAAGTGCCCGACAGGCCGTTTGTACAGCTACAACCGATGATGTAGTCTCCGGGTTCTGCGAAGACAAAGGTGGAAGGGGAAGGGGTGGTCTGAATCAAGCAAAAATAATGAGCCTTCCTCAGAAACGTCTTTTCCGATGTGGCTGTCGTCTCATTGTGCTGGGGGACATCTATCGAGCTGAAAGTTGCTGATGGAGATATCGAGTCCGCACTTGTCTTGACGAAGCTATTCGTCAGTTTCCATCTGCCGAACATCTTGACTACTGTAAAGGAAAGCGAAAAAAATTCAGAATCCGCTACTAGAAGATCACGCGCAAAACGGCTGAGTTCTGTCGTCGTTTTTGCGTTGCCACTTTTTATCACCGAAGTGAAAACGATGGGTGAAAGAAATGGTCGGATCGACTTAGCAGTGCGATTCGGTTGTGCGAACCGGAAGTCCTGAGAAGGCCGAAATACCACTTTTGGTGGAAAACGGCCTCAATTAAAAAAATAAGAACAACTGGATCGCGCGTATTGCGATTGCGCGAAAAACAGATAAATCGAGAAAAAACAATCAACACATTAGCCTAGATATGGCTGTATGTGAAATTTCTACAATATAGGTAGCTACTTGAAGGTATTGTGAAGAGCCACTGATGTTGGTTCAAGTAAGTAACCGAAAGAGCTGTCCATACAGTCCATTGCAAAAGCGAACATGTGCAGGAATCTATGATTGAAACATGCGAACTAAGCAGAAACACATTGCCTATCGTCTAGATTATGTTGTTTTATTGCTATTTTAGGGGTTAATCGGCCGTTTTCGTTTCAGAATGGAGGCGTTTCACTGCGCAATCGCCCCCGAATCGGAATCGCCCGACACGGTTCTGCAATTGCGGGAATGCTCGACTATAAATACTCTACCAGTAGCTTGTGCTTTTCCTTTTACATCTATTTATATGTGAAACTAAAATTTTGACAGTTTCGGACCGTTTTTCAAGACATGTTCAATAGCGTGTGCGTTTCCCCGTTCGCTGCCGTCAGAGCGATGAGCGGGCGCAGTTCCTTCCTGCCCCGGCTGCGCTTCAAGGTGTAAAACGTTCCATGGACAGCTTTATTTACCTCTTTATTCTTATTTTATTGTTATCACGGAAGCAGATCGCACAGATCTGCGTCACATTGCCGCCTGCGCATGGGCAGGTTTCTGGCTAGCGGGATGGGGGCCAGAGCTACTGCAAACAGTCGAAACAACGGCTTTTGAAGCAAATAAAGTTACAAAGATCCAAAGAACAAAGATATTTCCAAATTTGTACAAAAAAGGTTTTCTTTTCCCTTACCTCCCCACCTCGAGCTCTGAGAAGAACAGCGGTGCGTCGGCTGCCCTTGGCCCCTTCGCCCAGACCCGCGACGGCCTGAAGGAGCTTCTGTGGAAAGAGCTGAAAGCAAAACAGATAAACAACTTGAAAAATACATCTCTTATGATTCTGTATGTTGCATGAAGACTGCTGCTTTTCTCGCTAAAGCCCAGCGGGATATTCTCGAGTTGAACACGCACGACGGGATTCTGCTGCTGGTCACGGGTTCGTCACCAGTGGTCAATAACCTTTGGTTGTCTGCTTCTTCTTGTGCTTCTTTCGCTTTTCAAGCACCTTTAAAGGATAAAACAAAGAAGAGAAGCTTCAGGGCTGTGGCTCCCTTTTCAGCCCTCCACAAACACCCATCATCTGTTCTCGTCTGCAGCAGCTTTGCCTCGAGAGCTGCAGCAGCGGAGTTCATTGCAGCTTTCTCTGCTTCTCCCTTTCAAGCACCTCCGGCGACTACTACAGCGGTGAAGCGCCTCTTAGCGTTCGCTGCAACGAATCCCTCAGCAGCAGCAGCATCTAGCTTCTCGTTCCTGTGGCTGCACCGCGTTTGCGTTTGTCTCTTTCCCTGACGATCTGGGGTGTACGTACAGCTGAATTTACGGCGATGGAGTACCCCGGTGGCGGGGGAAACCCCTACCTGCACACATGTTTGTCTCGAGGGGACTTTATGGCTTTCTTTGCTGAGTTACCGAAGACGAACAATTTGTTTGTGCGTGATAGAGGGGGTAGAACGGTGATGGAGCTGGCGATGCAGATGACAGTTGAATTGTTTCAGTCTTGTTTCAGTACATCTTTCCCTATAGATAGCAGTGCTTTGGGTCGTGGTTGTGGTTGCTCTTGTGCTGTATGTGCACACAAACGACACCAGAATATGAGAGATGGAACAGGAGAAAACCAGAAATCTTACAGCTGTAAAAACCCAATGCGTATTCGTTATAACGAAGAATATCTCTCCATGTATCAGCAACCAAGACAAATGCGAATCAACGCACAGAGAAACCCCCCTGTTCCTTCTCTCCCNTCTCCATGTATCAGCAACCAAGACAAATGCGAATCAACGCACAGAGAAACCCCCCTGTTCCTTCTCTCCCTCCTAAATTCAAATACACCCCAGCACAGTACCCCCCTGGCTGGAACCCGGATGCATCGGCTCTTCCCTCTGCTAAAACAAGAGCACCCATCAGCAACTCACAAGGTGCCTATACACCCCAACTCTCCTCTTATGCATGCACAAACATCACCCCCACATTGCTCGTTTCTTTGCTGTTGTTACTTTTGGTTCAGCACGGTAGACAGCCCCCACAGATCTTCATGTTATATACATCTGTGGTGCTGGATATATATATATATATATATATATATATATATATATATATATATGCAGCAACGGCCCGTCTAAGTTAGTACGGTACCACTGAAGCAGAAGCAGCAGGCGCGCATCTTCTTGTTGTGTGTTGTGTTGCGGTGTGTTCCTTTATTGTTGCAGGAAAAACAGCAGCAGCAGGAGCAGCAGCAGG